AAACTCCAATAGTCTGTCTCAGGCATTACATCTCGCATATGAAAATTTTTTTAGGTAGGGTCTTTTTCTTTGTTTGTCAGCTTATTTAATAAACTGTCCATTATAGTGTTATCTGTTTGTTGATTGCTTGTGATGTAAAAAGTAAAGGGGCGTTGCAGAACATTGTGAGAGGCATTGGAGAATGTTGTGACAACTGGAAAGATCAGCAGTTAAAAAAAAAAAGACAGAGGCTGACCAAGAGAATGCTGAATTGAGAATTGATATCAAAGCAGTCAGGACATGCCCATAATCACTGCATCCCTATCTTCAGCAGCAAGCACAGAGTTCAAATTCCAATTGTACCAGTACCAGCCTTATTGTATATCCATTTAGCCTTTTCTCTGAGTGTTGACAATTGACCAGACTCCCCTGGTCACTCCTTGCAATACCAGCGTCCTCAGACTTGATGCTGTCTTCAACTGACCAGGAGTCAAAACTGGATGGTCAAAGATGGGGACATGGAGAAATATGGACAGATCTCTGGAGATACCTGAACACCTCAAAAACTCGATCGCTAACCAGATCTCCAAACTTTGCTACTAAGGGCATCACATATTCTGTTCCTGCAATCGTGCTGGCCAGTCCCTGCCCCTCTTTCCTAGCACCATGCCTTTTCTGTTGTTTTTTCCAATCTGCCTTGAAACTTTATATGGCCAAAGTATTTCAGCTTCCTAGACAAGATACTATTTACCAGCCACATATTCATGTCCTTTAGGATGTCGGTTTTGTGTATCTGTATGGTGTCTTCTTCTTGTTCATTATGTTCACTGGCTGTAAACTCCAGTGGAAAGTTCTGGTTGTTCCACTTCTGGACTTAAGTCCTGATCCAGAACTTGAGTTTTGGAAGCACATCCGTTTTGCAGATTTGGCTTATTTTTAAGGAGATGGTTCCTCACCTCTAAGGCATATGCACTCTGACTGAAGAAAACACCCCTAAATAGTGGCTGTTATGGGGCAGTAGGTATATCTCCCCCCCCCCCCCAATGGGGCCGTAGAACCCATATGTGGAGTAGTGGTTTAAAATATGTTTTGTTTCCAAGATTATGTTAGCTCTACCTATAGAGCCACAGCGGATACCACCCGTGCCTGACAACCAGGCCATCGAGTGTTTTGAGTCCCAATGAGACAGGGTGTTTTTTTTTTTAAACTTTCTCTCTGCTTCTAGGTCAACTCAGTCTCAATTAGGTACTAAGAAATGTTCTTGAAAATAAAGGCGGCAGGCTTGATTTCAGCCACATTACCTACTGAGTGTCAGGTTGAACTATAGCAGTATAAGTAGGCATCAAATAAGCAGTAGGCCCTAAAGCATGGAAAGGGGCTGTTGAATTTAGCTGACTGACTGCAAAATATTTGTCAGTGTCTTCAAATATTGTTGTGACTGTTTGTGAAAGATACGTCATTTCAGCGAGTGCATTATTGGACATTTCTCCGTGACAGTGTGACTTTATTTCCTGGGTGCCGACAGCACGCTTGTCATTTCCTCTGTACAGAAAGAACAGATGTTGTAATTTGACTCCAACCAAATGTATAATTTCATGACAAATTAAATAGTTATTTTCATTGTTTATTTTGTTGTCTTTACTAATGTTTAGTGTTTAATTAATAACTGACATCACAGCACTCGGGACATTCCCATAAGTGCTCTATTCACATCTTCAGCAGCAAGTGCAGAATTCCAGTGATACCAATAGCGGTCTGACTATATCCACCTCACCTTTTGGAGTTATAGATACAGAAGAGTAGGTCGTATTTCATTGAGGGGGGGGGGGGGGGAGGTTCTGGGAAAACTATGAATGAAAAAAAAAGTTTACTGAAGAAAATCTTCTTCACATCCTCTGAGCTTAAACTCCGGTGGAAAGTTCGGGTTGTTCGTCCACCTCTGGACTTTATTCTTGGTCCAGAACCTGACTGTTGCATGCACATCTGTTTTACAGATCTAGCTTATGTGAATGCAGACTGTTGGTTCCTTGTCTCTCAGCAGATGCACTCCAACTCCTAATTAGTTTACTCATAGGACATGCTTGTTGGGCAGGCAGTGGATCTATTCTTCTTTTCTCCACAATGGGGCCCCGGAACCCACACGGAGAACCAGGATTTAAATGTCTATCTCTGAAATCCACAAGGTGAAAGAAACAGAGCGAGGCGCCACACACCACACACTGTTAATGATAGAGATCTGTGATTTGGAAAGAGTATAAGCTGCATGTTACGGTAAAATATTTAAAGGTTTTGCATTAGCAGGTGTCTTTTTCTTTTTCTTTGCTCCTAAAATTAGATATTTTTATATAAATTAACAAAAAACAAGATCATATTTATCCTCGAAAATGATTTAAGATTACAACAAAACATGTAAAAACTTCCTAGTAGTAGTAGTAGCAGTAGTAGTAGTATTAGTAGTAGTAGCAGCAACAACGGTAGTAGTAGTAGTTGTAGTAGTAGCAACAACGGTAGTAGTAGTAGTCGTAATAGTAGCAACAATGGTAGTAGTAGTAGTCGCAGTAGTAGTAGTAGTACCAACAACGGTAGTAGCAGTAGTAGTAGTAGCAGCAGCAACGGTAGTAGTAGTAGTCGTAGTAGTGGCAGTAGTAGTAGTAGTAGTCGTAATAGTAGCAACAATGGTAGTAGTAGTAGTCGCAGTAGTAGTAGTAGTACCAACAACGGTAGTAGCAGTAGTAGTAGTAGCAGCAGCAACGGTAGTAGTAGTAGTCGTAGTAGTGGCAGTAGTAGTAGTAGTAGCAACAACAACAACTGTAGTAGTAGTAGTAATAGTCAGGATTATTTGGACAGTATTGGTGGGAGGCGGGAACGTCAAAAATACATTACTTCGTGTGAGGGTTGTGTTGGAGTGGTAGTTGGAAGAGGACGAAAGATAAAGATTTAAACCGGAGCCAATCTTGATAGCACTGTGTCGTTAGCATGGTGGATATATGATTTCCTTAGTGTGCAATCGTGGATTATTCTCCTCGATTTTATCTTTTGGGAAAACTAATTCAAAGATATCATGGACATTCTGAACCCTTCTTTATATGGATTTTAGTCCTAGTCCTAAATTGCCTGACCTTTCCACGTAACTCTCTGGGGTTGTTGATGTGCAACAAGTTTTCCCATCGTCATAGAAAATGTACAGAGATTCATGTAGTCATGGTTTTCTTTGGTTTTCATGTTTCCTACACTCCAGCAAATAGTTAGTTAGTTAGTTAGTTAGTTAGTTAGTTAGTTGGGTTATCCTCATTGCACTCCGGACATGTCCATAGGTGCTCAGATCCTCCCCTCAGTATGAACCCCAACGTCCGATGGCTAATAGTACCAGTTCTATGTTGATTAACAAGTCTTCTGGCGTGTCTGGTGTGCGTCTCGTTTTTTGCTGTGCCGATCTTAATTCCCAAGTCTGCCATTCTGGCGAGTGATGTGGATTCCAGCAAATAGTGCTCTATAGTATTGTATTTCTAGCATACATTAAAAATGTCTTCCTGTATAGTAAAGTAAGACCATCCAAGTTGTAATCTTAGCTTCTTCTTCTTCTTCTTTGCGTTCACCGGCTTTAAACTCCGGTGGAAAGTTCTGGTTGTTTGTCCACCTCTGGACTTTCGTCTTGTTCTAGAGCCAGAGTTGATCGTGTACATGCGTTTAACAGATCTGACTTAATTGTATGCAGATTGTTGGTTCCTTGCCCCTCAGGCAGATGCACTCTGACTTGGAAGGAATCCCCTAATTAGTCGACTCTTGGGACATGCTTGTTGGGGAGGCAATGGGTCCTTTCTTGTATTCATCACAAAGAGACCCCGGAACCCACACCAGGATTCGTCTAAGCTAGCGGTTCTCAACCTGCCAGTTGCAACCTTTTGGGGGGGGGGGGGGGGGGGTCGAACAACCCTTTCACATCCGTTGCATAAGACCATCGGAAAACACATTTTTTAAAGTTATGAAGAAAAATAATTGTTTGGGGGTCGCCACAACATGAGGAAACTTTATTAAAGGGTTGCGACATTATGAACGTTGGGAGCCACTGGTCCAAGCAAAATCTTCTTCTTCTTCTTTTTCTTTCGTTACCTAGAAATGGATTATCTATATCTGCAATGTTGTCTCTAGTATGAACTTCATTGTCTTTTGTAATTCACTCAGTGACCCGTAAAGTTTGACTTGCACCAATGTTTCTCTTGGCCAAAAGTTTTGCCTTGAAATATTGTAGTTGGGACAGACCGTCTTGGAGGACATGATCTGTTGTCTCGGGTGCCAATCCACATGTGCACTTGGCTGATAGGACGATTTTAAATTTTGTGTACATGTGGCTGCGAAGTCGACTGTGTCCTGTTCTAAGGCGTAGAATAATAACTTGCTCTGGTCTGTCCATAAAAAGTTTATCGTCTTGTGCCGGTTTTGGTGGCTTTCTAATAGACTATTCTCTTCTTTAGTTGATAAGCAAACTACTGGATGTAAATTTGCCTAGAAAACCCACACAACAGCCAGGGCTGTTGGGGTTGGTTCTGCAACGTCCTGTAAAGGATAGGCAACTAACCTATTTGTCGGCTCTGCGAACGCTATGTAATGCCGGGGTACCGGGTTCGATCCCAGCTGCGGGCCATGCGCCTTGCGTTGGTTTCGACAGTGGTATCAGGGGACCGACAGCCCAGAAAGAAATGGCAAACTACTGGACGTAAATTTGCCTAGAGAAACCACACAACAGCCAGGGACTGCTGTGGTTGGTCTGCAACGTCCTGTAAAAGATACGCAACTAACATTCGTTGATAAGAGACTGGTACTTCAGGTTGTTCTTCATTTGCACACCTTCCTTAGCTAGTTTATCAGCTCCTTCCTCTCCAGGAACTGTCTAAGAAAATAAAATGAATGTTCTTTCTCTAGTCGCCTCAGCCAGCAGACCACGAACAGTGGAGTAGATTCTATAAAAACTCGGCCTGTTCCGGCGTCCACAAACGAAACAAATTTTCCCATCTCGGAACAAGATGACCATAATAAAACTATTAAAACCACTACAGCTGACACTGGCTCTGCTAAAACCAGACATTGTCGCACAGCCACATATCGTCCAGGTAAGGTAGATTATAATCAGTTGTCTCTGTTGTATGTTGTCTCTTTGTTCACGCTTTCAAGCAATCATGGCGTAAACTTGTCTGTTGCTGTCAGTAAACTCGAGGTCGAAGGTGATAGGCGGTTTTGCATACTCCATATCTTATGCCTTATTAATATTAATTATTCTACCAATTGTGAATGTTGAATTGAGAATCGACACCACAGCACTCTGGAAATTCCCAGGCACTCTTCCGAATACCGGTCCCAAATTATTTACTGCCCAAAACATCCCTTGGCTCTCCTGTCAACTCAGGTCGTTAGCTGGAAAGCCGCCGATCGCTTAGTGGGAGTTCTCTCCCTTGGCTGCATTGCAAACACGGAGCGGAAAAGTCACGAATAAAAAAAGGCAGTGAGGTCGACAACAGGGCTGCCAATGCTTGGGTGTTTCCCCCCGATCTGGCTGTTTTTTTTTTTTTTTTGACGCTTCGGGGAAATCTGGTTTTTTTTTTAAAGTAAATATATTCTTATATAACAGTGGTATTAGTTGCCACGGATGTGACTCCTGCAGATCTGTATGACTTAATGACCGCCGATAAATTTGCCTGGTTAGGGTAGCGGTAGGGTTAGCGGTAGGGTTAGGGGTAGGGTTAGATGTGACAATTTTGATGCAGGAGTTCCAAATAATCGTGTACAGTCACATTCACACCTAAACAATCGAAAGACTGTGGATGCTACTCAAACGGACAATTCGCCACCGATGGGGCACCAGCTGCGCGCTATTGCCATCATATTTGGAAGAATTCCAGTAGCGCCACTCCCACAAGCATCATATTGTCGGCCAGTATTTGGAACTCCTACATCAAAATTGTCACATCAAACCCTACCCCTAACCCTAACCGTAACCCAATCCTTAACGCCGCTAACCCTATCCCTAACCCTAACTTAAACCCTATGATGACCGTATGATGACTACGCAACCGCACACGCAACCGTGTGATGATAGGTAACCGTATGATGACTACGCAACCGTACATGCAACCATATGATGATAGGTAAGTATGTCATTTGATTCGTGACTTTTCCGCTCCACAGCCAAGGGAGAGAACTCCCACTAAGCGATCGGCGGCAGTCCAGCTAACGGCCTAAGTTGACAGGAGAGCCCATCCCTTTTAGAGCCTCAAGGGGTTATAAGGAGGTTGACAAAAATATTTAGCCTCAATCCACGCCGCGCGTAGCGACGTGGGAAATACTCTTGGCGGTGGCGGAAGTCCGCAATTTACATGTGACTGAGACCCTGTTAGGGTATATTTTCGGCCTTGATAATGTGGGACCGTTATTTGGAGGATAGCCAAATCTTGCCTTTTCCCTGAGTGTTGAGTGTCGGCCAGATACCCTGGTCATAGTCACGTATTTACCTCTGATCTTCTTCTTACACTAACATACTGTTGCTGCGGTACCACTACTTAAGTATTAATAAATATTTCTGATTGAAGTACACAGAAACATACGTTACAGAAAATTAATGTATTTTCTACTTCTTCATAGCATTCACATAAGTCGCCCCGCAGGCAGAAGCTCTCTTGACTCCGAAAGGAGACACTCATAATTAGTGGCTTTTTACGGCACGCTTGATAGGGTCATCCTTGTGTGGGTTCTGGGGCTCCCTTTTGGGGACAAAAGAATAGACCCACTGCGTCCTCAACAAGCATATCATAAGGGTCGACTAACTGGGGGCTTATTTCGAAGTCGAAGTGCATCTACCTGAGAGACAAGGTACCAACAGTCTGCATGCACATAAGTCAGACTTGTAAAATGGATGCGCATGCAACACTCAGGTTCTGGAACAAGACTTAAGTCCTGAATTGAATAAATAACCAGAACTTTCCGCAGAAGTTTACAGTCAGTGAATGCGAAAAAGATAGGGGGCAATTAGACTAATTATTCCCTCCCCCCCCCCCCCCCCCCCCCACCCCTTCCGCATCATAATAATAAATAATAAATTATGTAGGCATTTTTTTTAAAAACTTTTATAGTTATTATAACAATTATTTGAAAATCCATTTGAATTCAAGGCTTGGACATCTACTTCCTGGCGAAATGAGGTTTTACAGAAGTGGGGGTTTTGATCGAAGGCTTCCACTTCCATCATGAAAGCAAACTTACAAATACTTGGAGTCACCAACTGGAAAGAGAAGGCTAAACACATAAATCCATTAAAGTGGGTGATGTCTGCAGCAACAAACTAGAAGGGCGTGGAATGCTAAATAAGGAGAACATTGTTTAACACCCCCCCCCCCCCCCCCCTTTAATGCAGATTTTTTTTTTTATGTTTCTGCTTTTTTCCAGAATATTCGACAACTAATTTTGGAGAATGGGTTGTACTTTGTCCTGTCCAAGAACGTAAAACTGTCACACAGCCAAGCGGAGCTGTTTTATGCTGAACATCGAGGTGGGTTGTACCTGATTTCTTACTTTCCACTTTCCACAAGGCATCAAGACATTTGTAGGCATTGTTGGCACTGCCCTCAAGTCATATCTATAACAGCAGCCCCCTTTAAAAAAATTGGGGGGGGGGGGTGGGTGGGGGCAGAGGATTCAAGGGGTTAAGCCTTTATCAACTGTGTATTGAAAATAATTATTTTTGTGTTCTGAATGGCAGTTAAATATAATCATCTGTTTGAAATTATAGCAGACCAAGAAAAAGGTGCAGAGAAAATATACAAGCAGGCATACCAACAAGTTTTGTGTCACAGTCTGTAAAGATAAGGCCAGTTGTATAGATAAAAAGAGGTGGGTGATATCTGCAGCAATAAACCTCAAGGACTTTGAATGCGGAAGAAGAAAAAAGAAGAAGAAGAAGAAGAAGTAACAAGCTTAACCTTTAGTTGCTGAAGGAGTGTGACCTTGACATGTTCACAGTGATGTGTTTTTTCTTTCAGGGAAGTTTTTCCAAACAAGACTGGTCTCCTTTATGAGCAGGTAATCCACAGTGTTTATTAAGCATTATTAGATTGTGTGGGAGTGACTACCCTTTAGGAAGATCTGGGGTCTGGCCAGATGGCATTCCTGTTGAAACCAAACTCTTTGGATCAGTGCAGGACATACACCACAACCTTGATGGAGGCTTATGGCCTTTTCATATAAAAATACTAGCAGAGAGAATGACAAGAAGAATAACAATGTCCTAAATGAAGTAAATTCTGGGCAATCTATTTGTGTAAATTGAGGTGAGATAATAGTTCTTATGGACCATGTAGAGCCAATCATGATATATGGAAGCGAAGCATGGTCAATCAGCCGATTAGTGACAAATTATGTGGAAGCGACAGAGTTTTGGTTTTATAGATTAATCATGAAAACACCCTGTACAGATTTAAAAAAGAAACAAGTAATGAAGATGACTTGAAAAAAAAACTTGCAATGAGAATTAATTACCCACATCAGAAGGACATAGTATCCCTTTGGATCAATTCATGAGGAGACAACCAAGTACACTGTGACAGCTGTAAAGTTGCAACGGAAGAGATGCAGAAGGAGACTCAGAGACAGTGCTAGACATCACCGCATCGAAGATCATCATCTGAGGACAGACATGACAACCAGTGCCACATGTCATGGAAATCTGAGGACAGACATGACAACCAGAGACTATAAAAAAAAGAACGACGACCTCTTCCTGAAAAACTGCCAATCATGAACAAGTCTGCAAAGAGCAAGGTCGCAGTTAGTTAGAGGCCACTATTGCCTTTTTAAATATTATGTGATGGGGCCCCAATATTTTCCACGGTGTGACACAATTATGGAGCTGTAGAGCTAGAACAGTGTACGCAGTAAACCTAATGGTGTCATATACCTAATGGTGTCACATACCTAATGGTGTCACATACCTAATGGTGTCATATACCTAATGGTGTCATATACCTAATGGTGTCATATACCTAATGGTGTCATATACCTAATGGTGTCATATACCTAATGGTGTCATATACCTAATGGTGTCATATACCTAATGGTGTCATATACCTAATGGTGTCATATACCTAATGGTGTCATATACCTAATGGTGTCATATACCTAATGGTGTCATATACCTAATGGTGTCATATACCTAATGGTGTCATATACCTAATGGTGTCATATACCTAATGGTGTGTCATATACCTAATGGTGTCATATACCTAATGGTGTCATATACCTATGGTGTCATATACCTAATGGTGTCATATACCTAATGGTGTCATATACCTAATGGTGTCATATACCTAATGGTGTCATATACCTAATGGTGTCATATACCTAATGGTGTCATATACCTAATGGTGTCATATACCTAATGGTGTCATATACCTAATGGTGTCATATACCTAATGGTGTTGTGTCATATACCTAATGGTGTCATATACCTAATGGTGTTGTGTCATATACCTAATGGTGTCATATACCTAATGGTGTCATATACCTAATGGTGTCATATACCTAATGGTGTCATATACCTAATGGTGTCATATACCTAATGGTGTCATATACCTAATGGTGTCATATACCTAATGGTGTCATATACCTAATGGTGTCATATACCTAATGGTGTCATATACCTAATGGTGTCATATACCTAATGGTGTCATATACCTAATGGTGTCATATACCTAATGGTGTCATATACCTAATGGTGTCATATACCTAATGGTGTCCTATACCTAATGGTGTCATATACCTAATGGTGTCATATACCTAATGGTGTCATATACCTAATGGTGTCATATACCTAATGGTGTCATATACCTAATGGTGTCATATACCTAATGGTGTCATATACCTAATGGTGTCATATACCTAATGGTGTCGTGTCATATACCTAATGGTGTCATATACCTAATGGTGTCATATACCTAATGGTGTCATATACCTAATGGTGTCATATACCTAATGGTGTCATATATACCTAATGGTGTCATATACCTAATGGTGTCATATACCTAATGGTGTCATATACCTAATGGTGTCATATACCTAATGGTGTCATATACCTAATGGTGTCATATACCTAATGGTGTCATATACCTAATGGTGTCATATACCTAATGGTGTCATATACCTAATGGTGTCATATACCTAATGGTGTCGTGTCATATACCTAATGGTGTCATATACCTAATGGTGTCATATACCTAATGGTGTCGTGTCATATACCTAATGGTGTCATATACCTAATGGTGTCATATACCTAATGGTGTCATATACCTAATGGTGTCATATACCTAATGGTGTCATATACCTAATGGTGTCATATACCTAATGGTGTCATATACCTAATGGTGTCATATACCTAATGGTGTCATATACCTAATGGTGTCATATACCTAATGGTGTCATATACCTAATGGTGTCATATACCTAATGGTGTCGTGTCATATACCTAATGGTGTCATATACCTAATGGTGTCATATACCTAATGGTGTCATATACCTAATGGTGTCATATACCTAATGGTGTCATATACCTAATGGTGTCATATACCTAATGGTGTCATATACCTAATGGTGTCATATACCTAATGGTGTCATATACCTAATGGTGTCATATACCTAATGGTGTCATATACCTAATGGTGTCATATACCTAATGGTGTCATATATACCTAATGGTGTCATATACCTAATGGTGTCATATACCTAATGGTGTCATATACCTAATGGTGTCATATACCTAATGGTGTCATATACCTAATGGTGTCGTGTCATATACCTAATGGTGTCATATACCTAATGGTGTCATATACCTAATGGTGTCATATACCTAATGGTGTCATATACCTAATGGTGTCATATACCTAATGGTGTCATATACCTAATGGTGTCATATACCTAATGGTGTCATATACCTAATGGTGTCATATACCTAATGGTGTCATATACCTAATGGTGTCATATACCTAATGGTGTCATATACCTAATGGTGTCATATACCTAATGGTCATATACCTAATGGTCATATACCTAATGGTGTCATATACCTAATGGTGTCATATACCTAATGGTGGTGTGTCATACCTACCTAATGGTGTCATATACCTAATGGTGTCTAATACCTAATGGTGTCATATACCTAATGGTGTCATATACCTAATGGTGTCATATACCTAATGGTGTCATATACCTAATGGTGTCATATACCTAATGGTGTCATATACCTAATGGTGTCATATACCTAATGGTGTCATATACATATACTAATGGTGTCATATACCTAATGGTGTCATATACCTAATGGTGTCATATACCTAATGGTGTCATATATACCTAATGGTGTCATGTGTCATATACCTAATGGTGTCATATACCTAATGGTGTCATATATACCTAATGGTGTCATATACCTAATGGTGTGTCATATACCTAATGGTGGTGTCATATACCTAATGGTGTCATATACCTAATGGTGTCATATACCTAATGGTTTTCATATACCTAATGGTGTCATATACCTAATGGTGTCATATACCTAATGGTGTCATATACCTAATGGTGTCATACCTACCTAATGGTGTCATATACCTAATGGTGTCATATACCTAATGGTGTCATATACCTAATGGTGTCATATACCTAATGGTGTCATATACCTAATGGTGTCATATACCTAATGGTGTCATATACCTAATGGTGTCATAACTATGGTGTAATGGTGTCATACCTAATGGTGTCATATACCTAATGGTGTCATATACCTAATGGTGTCATATACCTAATGGTGTGTCATATACCTAATGGTGTCATATACCTAATGGTGTCATATACCTGTCATATACCTAATGGTGTCATATACCTAATGGTGTCATATACCTAATGGTGTCATATACCTAATGGTCATATACCTAATGGTGTCATATACCTAATGGTGTCATATACCTAATGGTGTCATATACCTAATGGTGTCATATACCTAATGGTGTCATATACCTAATGGTGTCATATACCTAATGGTGTCATATACCTAATGGTGTCATATACCTAATGGTGTCATATACCTAATGGTGTCATATACCTAATGGTGTCATATACCTAATGGTGTCATATAATGGTGTCACCTAATGGTGTCATATACCTAATGGTGTCATATACCTAATGGTGTCATATACCTAATGGTGTCATATACCTAATGGTGTCATATACCTAATGGTGTCATATACCTAATGGTGTCATATACCTAATGGTGTCATATACCTAATGGTGTCATATACCTAATGGTGTCATATACCTAATGGTGTCATATACCTAATGGTGTCATATACCTACCTAATGGTGTCATATACCTAATGGTGTCATATACCTAATGGTGTCATATACCTAATGGTGTCATATACCTAATGGTGTCATATACCTAATGGTGTCATATACCTAATGGTGTCATATACCTAATGGTGTCATATACCTAATGGTGTCATATACCTAATGGTGTCATATACCTAATGGTGTCATATACCTAATGGTGTCATATACCTAATGGTGTCATATAATGGTGTCATATGGTGTCATATACCTAATGGTGTCATATACCTAATGTGTGTGTCATATACCTAATGGTGTCATATACCTAATGGTGTCATATACCTAATGGTGTCATATACCTAATGGTGTCATATACCTAATGGTGTCATATACCTAATGGTGTCATATACCTAATGGTGTCACCTAATGGTGTCATATACCTAATGGTGTCATATACCTAATGGTGTCATATACCTAATGGTGTCATATAACCTAATGGTGTCATATACCTAATGGTGTCACATACCTAATGGTGTCATATACCTAATGGTGTCATATACTAATGTGTCATATACCTAATGGTGTCATATACCTAATGGTGTCATACCTACCCTAATGGTGTCATATACCTAATGGTGTCATATACCTAATGGTGTCATATACCTAATGTGTCATATACCTAATGTGTCATATACATATACCTAATGGTGTCATATACCTAATGGTGTCATATACCTAATGGTGTCATATACCTAATGGTGTCATATACCTAATGGTGTCATATACCTAATGGTGTCATATACCTAATGGTGTCATATACCTAATGGTGTCATATACCTAATGGTGTCATATACCTAATGGTGTTCATATACCTAATGGTGTCATATACCTAATGGTGTCATATACCTAATGGTGTCATATACCTAATGGTGTCATATACCTAATGGTGTCATATACCTAATGGTGTCGTGTCATATACCTAATGGTGTCATATACCTAATGGTGTCATATACCTAATGGTGTCATATACCTAATGGTGTCATATACCTGGTGTTGTGTCATATACCTAATGGTGTCATATACCTAATGGTGTCATATACCTAATGGTCACATACCTAATGGTGTCATATACCTAATGGTGTCATATACCTAATGGTGTCATATACCTAATGGTGTCATATACCTAATGGTGTCATATACCTAATGGTGTCATATACCTAATGGTGTTGTGTCATATACCTAATGGTGTCATATACCTAATGGTGTCATATACCTAATGGTGTCATATACCTAATGGTGTCATATACCTAATGGTGTCCTAATGGTGTCATACCTAATGGTGTCATATACCTAATGGTGTCATATACCTAATGGTGTCATATACCTGAATGGGTGTCATATACCTAATGGTGTCATGGTGTCATATACCTAATGGTGTCATATACCTAATGGTGTCATATACATATACCTGGTGTCATATACCTAATGGTGTCATATACCTAATGGTGTCATATACCTAATGGGTGTCATATACCTAATGGTGTCATATACCTAATGGTGTCATATACCTAATGGTGTCATATACCTAATGGTGTGTCATATACCTAATGGTGTCATATACCTAATGGTTGTTCACATACCTAATGGTGTCATATACCTAATGGTGTCATATACCTAATGGTGTCATATACCTAATGGTGTCATATACCTAATGGTGTTTCATATACCTGATGGTGTCATATACCTACATATACTAATGGTGTCATATACCTAATGGTGTCATATACCTAATGGTGTCATATACCTAATGGTGTCATATACCTAATGGTGTCATATACCTAATGGTGTCATATACCTAATGGTGTCATATACCTAATGGTGTCATATACCTAATGGTGTCATATACCTGATGGTGTCATATACCTAATGGTGTCATATACCTAATGGTGTCATATACCTAATGGTGTCATATACCTGATGGTGTCATATACCTAATGGTGTCATATACCTAATGGTGTCATATACCTAATGGTGTCATATACCTAATGGTGTCACATACCTAATGGTGTCATATACCTAATGGTGTCATATACCTAATGGTGTCATATACCTAATGGTGTCATATACCTAATGGTGTCATATACCTAATGGTGTCATATACCTAATGGTGTCATATACCTAATGGTGTCATATACCTAATGGTGTCATATACCTAATGGTGTCATATACCTAATGGTGTCATATACCTAATGGTGTCATATACCTAATGGTGGTCATATACCTAATGGTGTCTATACCTAATGGTGTCATATACCTAATGGTGTCATATACCTAATGGTGTCATATACCTAATGGTGTCATATACCTAATGGTGTCATATACCTAATGGTGTCATATACCTGATGGTGTCATATACCTGATGGTGTCATATACCTGATGGTGTCATATACCTGATGGTGTCATATACCTGATGGTGTCATATACCTGATGGTGTCATATACCTGATGGTGTCATATACCTAATGGTGTCACATACCTAATGGTGTCATATACCTAATGGTGTCATATACCTAATGGTGTCATATACCTGATGGTGTCATATACCTGATGGTGTCATATACCTGATGGTGTCATATACCTGATGGTGTCATATACCTAATGGTGTCATATACCTAATGGTGTCATATACCTAATGGTGTCATATACCTAATGGTGTCATTTGTAGGTTGTAGTTTACAGCTAGGCTATGATATCTACAAGCTTGGTCCAATACATCTGATTCCAGAAGAAGAATAGTCACCTTGTACAACATACTTGTTAGAGTTGAATGGCTCTGTTCTTTTCCTCCCGTCCCAATCCCTGTAATGGGGCCCCGAAACCTACAGAGGGATTTGTTTTTGTTGTAAATGTGTGTCTTTTTTTTTTCAACATGTCTTTCAGTGGCCCACTGTGGAGTCACGTCCTGTGTGGAGATGATGCAATTGTCAAGTGGAGAAGGTTGATGGGACCGACTAAAGTACTCAAGTAAACGTTTCCTGTATCATTTTTGTTTGTTTTTTACTTTGTTATTTTAAATATTAAAGAAGTAGATGAAGTAGCTGAAAGGATACCTGATTCAAGCTGAAAAAAATCAGCATGAATTGTGCTGTCGATTTATGAAAAATAGGATCCAGATTAGGATATATTTCCATCTCGTCCAGAGTAGTTATCGACATCTCAGATTAGAATATCATGATAGTAGTTTGACACATCTGAAAAAAAAATTTCCTTTTTGAAGAATGTTTTATTTAATCATCATCATCATAAACCACTTCTGCCATTAAGCATCATGGAGATAAATAATTTGCGATCCAGTGCACGCTGGCTGCCACTGGCTATTGTCATGTCATGAAGGCGTAAAGTGTCTTTAATGTTGTCGATCCATGTTTTTGTGGTCGTCCTCTCGCTCTTGTATCTGGCCTAGTGCTAAAGTGCTTGTAATGTTATTTGATCTTGCTGCATTCTAACGAGATGACCAAACCACTGGATCTGCTGTTTTTTCATGAATCTAGTACCAGATGTCGTTCCCACAATTTGCCTGAAATTTATATTACTTAGTCAGTCTGGGATGGTTAGGTTGGTGGCTTTTCTCAGGCATCTCATCTCGCAGCTTGTGATTTTGCGTACATGCGCTTTAAATAGTGTCCATATTTGGTACTGGTAGCTTAATGTTGGAATAAATCTGTCTCTCTGCACTCATAGTTATGTTTAGATGTCTTAATACTTGTTTTCTGACATCTGGTTTACATTTCTCTATTTTATTCAGTACAGAGTGTAAAAGATGATGAGAAAAAGAAGTAGACAGAGTGTTTTTCAGTAGCTGCCTGTGTATGTGCTTCTCTGCTGAAGGTGTTTTATATATAAAAATAGGTTTAAGGGGAGCAGTGGTGGCATTGCGGTTAGATGCTTGACTGCCATACAAAAGGTCCAGGATTCAGGACTGATTTGTATTTCAAAAACTGACCTGGGTTGCTGGGACAACTTAGCCTAAAGTGTTTTGGGAGGCATGGATCTAATTATCCCCACAGTGGGACCCTGGAACCCACAGAGGGGCCCCAGAACCCACACGGGGCCTAGCAAGTCATGACTGCCCAGCGTGATTTAGATCACTTCGTCCACGGAGTTCTGGTCCACAAATATATAATTTTGACACCATATGCCCGATATGACACCGGCTGAAAATGGTCCCTTACTTTCACTTTATTTTATCTTGTATGCCAAAAGTTTTTGTCTGTACTTAAAATGAACTTTAAAGATGGAGGTTTTTTTTTTTTTTCTTTGTGGATTGCAAGATCCCATTTTGAGATAAAACAAGAACAGACCCACTGCCTCCCCAACAGGCATGTTGTAGGAGTCGTCTAATTGGGGGCTTACTTCGAAGTCAAGAGTGCATCTGCCTGAGAGGCAAGAAACCAACAGTCTGCATACAAAACAGTCAGATAAGTGAAAGGAATATGCATGCAACACTCAGGTTCTGGAACAAGACTAAAGTCCAGAGGTGGATGAACAACCCCAACTTTCCGCCGGAGTTTACAGCTGGGGAATATGAAGAAGATGATTGATATATATATATATATTTAATAGAGAAGTTTTTATTCATTTAAAGTTGAATTTGTAAATTGAAGTTATTTTCCTGTTTGATTGCAGAACTGTATTTGATGACCCAGTGAGTATTAGAGGGAGGCATGGCCTCACAGATACAAGGAACTGCACACATGGCTCAGGTACGTCACATTTGTGATACTTTTGTGTAGACTTGAAACCAGGGAAGTCATGGCCTTACAGACACAAGGAACTGCACACATGGCTCAGGTACGTCACATTTGTGATACTTTTGTGTAGACCTGAAGCCAGGGGAGTCGTGGCCTCACAGACACAAGGAACTGCACTCATGGATCCGGTACGTCACATTTGTGTAGACCTGAAGACAAGATAGTCAGCATTCATGTTTTACCAGGTCTGTAAGGAAGCACAAATAAATGGTAACACTGCATCCTATCAAAGTAAAAGTCCAGAGGATTGACTTCATTGCACAGATATCCTATATGGCTTGATCTGTCACTCCACAGAACAGCTGGCCACCTGCCAAGAGTATCACACAAAACACAGATTCTGTAGCTCCAGGGATGATCCACAGAGAGCTGCATAAAAACTGCACTTGTGGGCTGAATGGTGTGCCCATGAAATAAACCCATGACCTTCAGGAGGCGAGGCAAACAGCTTTGCCACTCTACCATGGTGTAGCAGACGCTGGCATGCGGATTTGAAGGTTGTGGGATTAGGTCCTGACATAGCCAGACTTTTTCAGAAATGACCTTAGCTCCCAGGTTGACTCAATCTTAAGTAGTTACCAGGTAAAATTCTGGGAAATAAAGGTGACCGGCGTAATGCCAACCACATCACCCACCGAATACCAGTTGGTCTATAAAATGTCGGTCTTACCCCACATGTCTGAAGGCTATGAAAAGGGACCCTTTTCCATTACTTTACTTCGCCACAAGGTTCCCTTCACATCTCAGACATGTTGTAAAGAGCCTAAAAGTTGAAATGCACGTATGGGTTGGCTACTTCATCTCGTAAAAATATCTGGTTTCAAAAGACACCAGACTATAACCATGTCTGAAAAGGAAACCAGAAATAACCAACCACCCAAGACGTAGGAGGCTCTTATAAAAGAATTGACTTAAGTAGTCAAGGTTAGGTCAACCTGGAGCAAGTTAGTTCAAAGCCTGTGTTCGAGGCCGAATAAATGGCAGAAGAAGAGAAGTCGAGCTCGTGGCGAAGTGTCTGATAGTCTTAGTTTCAGCTTCATAGCAATGCCAAACCTGGTCCCTAACAAAAGCACAGGAGAAAAAGATCACGACGTGCGAAATGAGATGCTTACGTAAGGCTGCCAATGTCACAAGGAGAGACAGAGTTCGAAACGAGAACATTAGAGCAATTGTAGGAACCACACCATGCCTGCAATACATAAAGAAGCAACAAATAGAGTGGTTTGGCCACTTGATGTGAATGCAAACCGACCAACTGCCTCTACGAGCATACAACGAACAGCACTACTGCCCTAGAGCAAGAGGCAGACCGAGAGTACGATGGATAGACAATATATCAGAGATCCTGAGGCAACACGGACTAACAACAACACGTGCAACACACCTGGCCCAGGATAAAAAACTGCGACTCCCCACTACGCTGTGAGGCAATTGTGGACAAGACAAGACAAGCAAACAGGTTACCCCATCTTTGCTCTGCTCGTGTGCCAACCACAAACACAGAATGTTTATCACAGTCCCTTGTGGAAAGATTGACAGACTGCTGTCTCAGCATATCTAGCATACACTCGCATTAAAGCATACGGTAGCAATTCGAAGTGCTAACACAAACAGTCCGACATTAGAAATGCAGTTCATCATTGATGGTAGCAGAAGTCACCAACAGATCTGCAGTTGCCCACGCGATCAATTTTAATCACATACGGGCACCACCAAAATTGCGACGACAGGCATCGCACCATTTTCTGAATCTACAATTCACACGACCACGTTGGTCACAGTCGAAAAACATTCCAAATGAAATCCACAGCTCACAGTGTCACGCCATGCATTCAGCTCAGAAGCTGGGCGACAAAACTATATCCAGTCTACGGAACAAAAATGCATCGGCCACCATCCGGCAGAAGCAAAAAATTTGCCTCAGCTCCAAACAGTGGCCCTGCCTAGCGGCGAAGTGTGCTGGCCACTGCACTACTACAGCTCCCATGTTTAGTGAAAGTGATTGTTTGCACAACTAAACCAGTCATATTGATGCTTGCAAACTAAACCAGTCATATTGATGTTTGCACAACTAAACCAGTCATATTGATGTTTGCAAACTAAACCAGTCATATTGATGTTTGCACAACTAAACCAGTCATATTGATGTTTGCAAACTAAACCAGTCATATTGATGTTTGCAAACTTAACCAGTCATATTGATGTTTGCAAACTAAACCAGTCATATTGATGTTTGCAAACTAAACCAGTCATATTGATGTTTGCACACTAAACCAGTCATATTGATGTTTGCAGACTAAACCAGTCATATTGATGTTTGCACACTAAACCAGTCATATTGATGTTTGCAAGCCAGTCATATTGATGTTTGCAAACTTAACCAGTCATATTGATGTTTGCAAACTAAACCAGTCATATTGATGTTTGCAAACTTAACCAGTCATATTGATGTTTGCAAACTAAACCAGTCATATTGATGTTTGCAAACTAAACCAGTCATATTGATGTTTGCAAACTTAACCAGTCATATTGATGTTTGCAAACTAAACCAGTCATATTGATGTTTGCACACTAAACCAGTCATATTGATGTTTGCAAGCCAGTCATATTGATGTTTGCAAACTAAACCAGTCATATCGATGTTTGCAAACTAAACCAGTCATATCGATGTTTGCAAACTAAACCAGTCATATCGATGTTTGCAAACTAAACCAGTCATATCGATGTTTGCAAACTTAACCAGTCATATTGATGTTTGCAAACTAAACCAGTCATATTGATGTTTGCACACTAAACCAGTCATATTGATGTTTGCAAACTTAACCAGTCATATTGATGTTTGCAAGCCAGTCATATTGATATTTGCAAACTAAACCAGTCAAAATGATATTTGCATACTAAACCAGTCATATTGATGTTTGCAAACTAAACCAGTCATATTGATGTCTGCAAACTAAACCAGTCATATTGATGTCTGCAAACTAAACCAGTCATATTGTTGTTTGCAGACTAAACCAGTGAAATTACCGATTTAATTATAACTAAACCAGTCATAATGACTACTTTATTCTTCTTCCTCAGATTCAGAAGATACAGCCAGGACAGAAATCAAATTTTTCTTTCCTGAGTTTAGTATAGACAAGTGGTTTGAGCAGCAGCATGAGCTCTTCCAGCAGGACCTTGTGGAGTTTGACACCAGCCTCTGCCAGCATGTTCCAGTCCAAGCCAACAGTTTGGGAACCTCTGAGTTCTCCTAGTATTTGGTCATAGCTTAGTATGGTGTGCATGTATGTGTATTATGTATAACATGTGTATGTTTGTGTCTGTCACTGTGGGAGGGAGAAAGCTGAAGTGCACAGCTGCTGTGGAGACAGTTGGAGGGGTACCCACCACCTGGTTTCATTGTAAGCTGATGTAGTCACCCGTTTGGGGACCCCTGGGTTGTTCTTATATTTGGTCATATGTACGGCGTGCGTGTATGTGAACTATCTATAACAAGAATATGTGTGACTGTCATTGGTGGAGGGAGAAAGCTGGTGTGCATAAGGACTGCGGGAAAAATTGTAAGGATGGGGACAGAGAGAGATGGTGTGACACAGTTTTACATCATGGCATGGAAGATCAGCTGTGTCAAAAACGATTGAAAATACACAAGGCAGACACGATATGGTTAAGCATGAATACCAAATCCCTACTGTACTGACTAGTCATATAAGAAGAAGATGTGTGACTATATTTGTGTGGGACTGCCTCATAGCGAGAATGCCTAGTAAAACCATACGATACAAGGCATAGACACACACACAAAAATAAAGACATAGAGCACAAGGTAGACCAAGAACAAGATAGAAAGATAACATTATAGAAACTCTACAACAGTCTGATGTGTCTATGGTCTACAAGGCCAGAACATCAAGAAGCAAGAACCTTAGATCTCTCTCGATACCTGAAGAGCTAAAAGATGAAGTGAAAAAGGAGAGTTCTGTTATCAGTGGATTCCCTTAGTGAGTTTATGATTGGAGTTCTTTTGAGAGGGAAATACCAAAAACTCCTGGGGAAACATGGCCAGCCCAGATCTGATTCCTGTCAACTGGCATGTACTGTGCTGGAGCTTGACCCGACTACCTCCTCTTCAGATAAGAAGTTCTAGTCCCAAACTCACACACACTGCATGTTGGGAAGAGCAAGCATGGATGTACTGTGAAGGGAATTTCAGCATTCATGGATTGAATTGGGGCCTCCATGGCGAAGTGATGAAGCTGTTTGCCTCACGCTCTGAAGGTCATTGGTTTATTTCACGGCTGCGTCGCTCAGTTCACAGGTGCAGTTTTCACAGAGACTCCTGGGGATTGTCGCCATGGCTACAGTGTTTTTGCTTTGTGCGACGCTCTTGGCAGACGGCTAGCTGTTCCATGAGGGAGGCCCAGCCGTATGGGATAAAACCTTGTGTAATGAAGTTGATCCTCTTGACTTTACATTTATTGTTCTGTATACAGTGAGGATTTTTCTTTTTCAGCATTTATCCTAAATAGGGTGGTTGGCTGGTTGTGTTGTGGTTCATTTAGACTGTCACATCACAGAAGGGTACTTGCCTGTCGACACACTTCATGACACAGTTAGATGTTGCAATGTTTTGATCAATGTCAGCGCTTGGACTTTTGACCCCATCTCTGTTGTTTGAGCAGTGAATTTAAGAAGATCAAGGAGAGAGTGTTACCAGAAGAAAATATTACTGCACAAACATCTGAAGCCTTCAGCAGATCGTTCCATTGTTATTTCCTGCAGTATTTTATTATTTAACGCAACTTTTATGAATCCCATACATTAATTCGACATTATATTGCTAATAAATGAATTATATTTTTTCCCATGCCCAGTGTTTGTTGATAATTTTACAATTTTCATTAGCCATGTCTGTTGCAAAGCTTGAAATCCACAACTATGAAGTACGGACCGAATGCATATCGAACCATTGAAATGGTACAAAAGGTTATAAAAATGTGTATTAACCAAGCGTAAGTCGAATAACAAACACAACAAATGCAGACATATCGGACTGTAACGCTGTGTATAGAATACAACAAATGCTAGACACTTATTTAGTAAATTCATAACTTGTGGTATTTGGGAGTTATTTTATACATTTTTCCACTGTTTTTAGCGAGTCATGTGGGGTCCTAAAAATTAATATCCAGGGATATGCCAGTAGCCGTCACTCAAAGATAAGATAAAACTGTGTTGGCAGTGCAGCTCCCTAGGGTTTAGGTGAAGCTGTGTTAGCAGTTGAGTCCACTGGGCGCCAGAGTTCCCAGTACTATCCATCTCTTAGTCTGTTTCTCTTTCACTACACCTGCCTCTCTATCTCCCTCTCTGTCTCCCCTTTACAGAGTTGTGACTTCTGGGAAAATTTAGGGTATTTGACACAGAGATTGACCGAGAAAATGGTAGAAGGTCTAAAAGCGTGGTGTTAAGGACAACCGGAGATCAACAATTTCAAGAACACAGTTAATGTCTGGCTGTCAGAACGAATTGTCTGGCTGCCAAAGCCATAGCTAAAAAAATACTCGTACTGGACAAAGAGACATTCTGAATACCAGTTTTGAACAAATGCTGAGAGAAGAAACGAGGTTAGGTCAGATAACATATAAGAATGTTTGATCGAGGAATTAGGTGTGGACCCAGCAAGGAGTAAGGAATGAGAGAAGAAGAGCGACGTTTGTATAATCAGTATACTACGGAACGGTTTGCATCTATACTGTAAGACATTTGCTGCAGGAGACGGAGCATCTATGGGTATGTCCGGTATGCTATGATGTTGATTCTTCAATCATTTTTTGCCTTATCATAGAATCAGTTCGTCTTTTCATTAGCAAGTTCAGGAAATCAATATATCGTTGACTTGCCTTATCAGGCTTTTCACATAACTGTCAAAGGGGAAAGGATCGACCCCATTACACCAGGCGTTATCTGGTATGGCTCAATCTCTCTCCTCAGAACAGTTGTTCGTCCAGTGAGAGCGCTGCACAGTGCACGAAACTGTCGCTCAAACGACGGCAACCACAGGGAGGGCGGGGTGGCAAATACCACGAGAAACGTGTACGGTTTAGCACCTGTGCTTGTTGATTATTAGTTTAGGTATCTACAGTCGTTAGGTGTAATCTTGCCATACAAGTTTGAGTCGTTTCGACTTTCCTGTTTTGTTAATGTAATGGATAACTTTACCTGCACACGAATGTCGCCACAACAAATCAAAGAGCGTATATACCGCGGCATAAGCGCCAGAACACGGAAGCTCAGGCCCCTTCAACACCCTGCCCACTTCACAACTGTTTGTAAGGGAACTTAGAAGCCCCTTTAACCCCATGTATAGACATTTTTTCCTGCCCCAATACCGATAGGCATTACAGGAGTAAAAAGAAGAAGAAGAAATTATCTTTAAAAGTTTTCGTTTTGTACATTATATATTCTTCTTCTGCCTTTCTATCCCCCAATGGAGCATAGGCCCTCAATCAACTCACGTCAAGTCGTTCTATCCTTCGCCATTGCATGGAGCTCTTCCCGTGTCCTCCCCAGCTTTCCAACTTCATTCTCCAGCTCTCATATCCATGTTTTTTTTTTTTTTTTTTTGCCTTCCTTTATTGTATTTTATATTATTTTAAGCATATATTTTTTTTTTTAATTTGCCGGTCGGCGAATTAATCAACAAATATATTTCTTTACCAGATAATTTCTAAACATGGTCACAGGGAGCACCGTAGTCTGCTTATATAATTAGTGGGTCATGGCAGGATCTCTTATATAATTCTCTTCATTTCTTTGCGAGATGCAATTTTTCGTTATTTGAAGCCTTACTCTGGTTCTTGCCGGAGCCGCAATATAGCCCGGCCATAAATATGGCCTAATGGCTGAACGCGGTTTCTGGGACCTCTCCACGGTGATCCTCATCAACATGGTGGCACTTTGTGTCATGGGGTGTTTATCGCTTGTGTGATGTCCTAGTGGGGTAGAAAGTCAGTCGGCAGGTCCTCAGTTCTTTGCTCCCTTGAAAAGTGTGTGGGGGGAGGGGGTGAACTCAAGGACCTTAGCCTGACGACTCACCCAATTATTTGCCTAAAAAATGTGAAGCGATCTCTATGTGCGGTGCATCCATATCAATATTAGGAATAAAGTAGTTTGGGATGAAGATCGGCACAGCCACTTACAGGGCTGTCAATGGGATTTTTATCAAATCCCAAGTTAAGTTGACCAAAAAAAAACATAGTAATACTTAATTAAGCAAAGAACGCAAACAAAAACCTAAGAATAATAAAAAGTACAAATTTTATAGTTACAAAACAATTACCCACTTTTATAAAAGGATATATATTTTTTAAACCCAGATTCCTAAATCTGAACCAAAGGCGTCATTAAAAAAAAAAAAACCAGGTCTTGGGGGGGGGGGGGGGGGGGGCGCATATTGGTAGCCTTGACTCATGACACACACACACCAAATGTATAAGAGAGGGTTTTATCCACCTGCATTTTATATCTCTTGCAATTAAATTTTTTGTTATTTGAAGCCGCAACCTGGCTTTTGCAGGTCATAAATATGGCCAATTGTCTGAACGCGGTTTCTAGGACCTCTCCACGGCGATCCTCATCCACATGGTGGCACTTTGTGTCATCGGGTGTTTATCGCTTGTGTGATGTCCTGGTGGGGTAGAAAGTCAGTCAGTCAGACCTGCATAGGACTGGTACTAGTAGACGCGGCATGCTAATGAATATTTGTTGACAACAAAAATGAGGTACGGGGGCAGGGTTGGATTTAGATTTGATGAACACCTATGTTAACTAGAGTCCTGAGGCCCTAGATTTTAAATTACACCCACAGATCTCACAAATATTTAAATTGAATACAGCTTGAATATACGCATAATTGTCGTTTTAATTTTCGGTAAAAACATGAACAAAAAATTAATGTGCTTGCAAAATCATAAAAATTATATTAAATAATCATCTAAAAGGCTCTTTTTAAAGAACATTGCATTTAAAGTATATTAAGAGATATTTGCATTTGCGATTAAAAAAAAAGTTTGTTGAAGCCCTTATAGATTCTGACGCCTCGAGGTGTAGCTTTTTTTTCTGTTTCTACTTGTTCTTGTTTACCGGCAGTACACAGCGGACAGTTTTGATTGTCCATCAACCTCTGGACTTGTTTTTTATGCCAGAACATAAGTTTTACGTGCACATCCGTTTTACAGATCTGGTTATTTGTATG